GCATAGACTGACAAGTGGAACTAATTTCTGAAAAACTAAAGTCTTTATCCAGCACATTGTTGTAGAATAGCTGAAAGTGAATGAACCCCATTGGCATGATATTCTCAGAGCAGAGTATAAGAACCAGGCACAGGTTATGTCATTATCCTTAACAGTTTACAATAAGCCAGCATGTTTTATAAGAATAAGACTTTACATTCCATTTTCCATCCTGTTATAATACAGCAGGAGGTGGGACCATGGTGGATCCCATGGCAGGTGAGGGACAAACACAAGAAGCAGATAGAACTTGAGTGGGAAGTTCCATTGGGGGATAGGGGAAGGGAGGGAGAAGAGAGAAAGAGAGAGGAGAGAAAGAGAGAGAAGAGAGAGACAGAGAGAGAGAGAGAGAGAGGCAGGAAGAGTCCTGTCTGCCCCTTTGGAGGAACAGCAGGAAAGAGAGCAGAAGTGGGTGGCATTTTCCTCTTAAAAGGACCTGTGCACCTCATGCAGACTACTTAGTGGCATAGCAGCCATAGGACCTTGGGCTGGCCTGAGTACATCCTGCCAGGTGACAGGGGACAGGCCTGGATCCTAACACATCCTTGTTAGGTTTAACATCAAAAAGTAACAATTCTTGAAATGAAGCTCTTCTAGTATCAAAATGAAACTTTTAACATAGATACAGTTCGTAGAGAGACTGACAACTTTACTGATCCTTTTATAGTGCACCATCACGAGTTAGACAAATATTACTGTGAACCTGAGTTGACCTTGGGGTTTTATAAACCTTGATTATCAAATACATATTATTTATCAAACATATGTTGTTATTTACCCAAAATTTTTAGCAGCCTGATGTTCAGCAGTTAGCAAAGACATAGGTAGTTAGACGTAACATACTTTATGGATCACAATTCTCCAGCAACCCTTTTTTCTTTCATTTTTAATGATTCTTACAATGTGTTATGGAAAGGCCCAGAAATTGGAATATTAAAATATAGGAACTGACAGTCACCAGCCTTGTGGGCAGTTAGGGATTAACTTTTAATAATAGGGTTCCTTGTTTTATGCCCTGGCAGCTCTGTCTGTGATCAAAGGTTAGCGGTGTGTGTGTGTGTGTGTGTGTGTGTGTGTGTGTGTGTGTGTGTGTGTGTTTTCCCAGTGGCCCCCTGTAGTTAAGGGCTAGCTGTCAGAGACACTCCCCCTTACTCCCCCAAACCCCCCCTGCCACTTACAATGAACACCTGCTGTGAACTAAGTTAACTTTTGGGTTGCATTGTTCCATATTCTGCCCTGCTTTGGGAAAACCAGGCAATTGCCTGGGAAGTTCAGAGTTTCAGTAAACACAATTAGAAGTGCTCTGGGAGAAACAATAAGCTACTACAAACACTAACTTAGCCAAAGACCTTGTTCATGGAAATTGTAAAAGGAAAGAAAGAAAAAACTGCTGGTATTATAATCACAAGTTCAAGATTTTAAACTCCCTTTGGTTGTCCTATAAGTAAAGACTTAAAAGCATTTCATACAGTCTTTGGAACAGAGGGAAGGGACCCAGCTTTCCCAAGCTGTATTTATGCTGAAAATCAAGATCAAGGGAGCTTTTGCCTTTCTGTCCTCTCTGAGCTCACCTGAAGAGTGTTCATGCAGCCAGGCATTGGTGCCACATGCCTTTAGTCCCAGCACTTGGGAGGCAGAGGCAGGTGGATTTCTGTGAGTTCGAGGCCAGCCTGGTCTACAGAGCAAGTTCCAGGACAGGCTCCAAAGCTACACAGAGAAATCCTGTCTTGAAAGATTAAGAAAAAGGGGGGGGGGGTTTCCTGCTTTTAACACAAAGTCATTTCCTAAGCTTCTACTATGACACAAAGGCCATGAGTCTACTGCCTTGTCTACACTGTGGATTTTAGTACAGATTACAAACAGTGATACTATTAATAGTTCTAAAACTTTTATTTTTTGTTTGTTTTTCGAGACAGGGGTTCTGTGTGTAACTCTACCTGTCCTGGAACTTTCTCTATAGATCAGGTTGGCCTGATCACAGAGATCCACCCGCCTTGCCTCCAGAGTGCTGGGATTAAAGGTGTGTGCCACCACTGCCTGGGTAAAACGTTTCTCTTTTTTGGAAATTTAAAAAATAAAATCTTGTAAGCTTCAGAGAACTGGCTTGAATCTACCTCTCACAGGTCAGATGGATTCCAGATAAGTACTCATAAGTCCCCCCTCCCCATTTCTAAGGGTGGAATCTCCCTAATCTTGGGACTCCCTCCTTCAACTGCCAGGACTGTGGGCCTGGAAATTTAAAATGTATACCCTGAATAAAAATTTATCCCTAAACTCCTTAAGTGTACCTTCTGTCCCAGAAGATAACAAATCAACTACAGATTTCCCCAGTAACTTGCCTGCTAGAGGTGTTGCTTCAGAATGTGCACCCTAGAGGCTTCAAGGTGGCCAACCTCAACCGGTTCAGCCTCACAGACTATTCCAGTTGGACCTGCACTTTGCTAGCCTCAGAAGGTCCCACAGAGCCCGGACAGTGAGTGAAACAGCCTGGTCTTCCTGGCCTTAGCCAACATTCCAGTTTTCTTGGGTCCCCAACCATGACACCCCAATGTCAGCATGAAGTAATTATAGAAACGATTACATCATCTCCCTTATCATTTATTTATATCAAAAAAGGCTGGGTGTTAGGTACCAAATCCGGGACAAATGGCTACTTGAAGTGCCCATTAACATATCAAAGTGGATGCTGGCCACTGGGTTCTCCCAGCATCCTCCAATCACTGCCTATTACAGGGCCCTCCTAATTGGCATACCCTGAATTCTCAGCCCAAGTATTGGGCTGAGTTATCCTTCTCCCAGCTCCTTTGACTCCTGTATAACCATTTCGGCTATGCCAGTGTTTTGGTCCAGTCCACCCCTCTTGGTCTTCAGCTCCTCTGCCCTGTTTTCTCCGACCCCTCCTCACTTGGCTCAGGATCATGTCCTCTGGACTCTTCCAGACAGATGTCCCTGTCTCTGAGTAGGCTCTCCGTTTTATCTACAACAAACTCTTTCCCCCTCCACACCTAGGGATGAATGCTCCTACTTTTTACAACTGAATTTAAGTTTCATTTCTCTGAGAAGGACACACAGGGGTCTTTTCCAACAAAGGGCAGTTTATCTAGGAGGCCCTTCCACTCAGGGTCAAGGGGGAAACACAGGAATAGTCTAAGTCGGCCTCACAGAATCTCAAGGACAAACCCAGCAGCCCCTTCTGAGTCGCATCCAAGCTTGTACAGATGTGTTCAAAAATGATAAAACTAAACTTCAGTCTATTAGAAATACACAAGTGCAATGGCTGCTTGTGTTAGCATTTAGGCATCATGCTGGCCGGTCACCAGGCAGGATATGTGAGCTTGCCAGTACTCAGGCAGTACTCTGACCTGCTCAGGGTCCTGACAACACCACCAGCTACGTGGCTACCGATAGGTCTCTCTCTCTCTCTCTCTCTCTCTCTCTCTCTCTCCTCTTCAGTTCCTGGTGCCTCTGTCTCTTCCCTTCCCCCTCACTCCACTTTCTAAATAAACTCCTCATTCAAGCTCTATCTGCCTGGCAGGTTATTCCCTCACCTGCTATGGAACCTGCTATGCTCTCCTACGTGGTCCCTTCCCTTGGGACCCCCCCACTAGGGAACCACACACACACACACACACACACACACACACACACACACACACACACTTCTCCAGCTTTATTCCTATAACTGTAAAAAAAAAAAAACCCACTGGGCACCAGTAAAACGGTGAACAGTGTGCAGGCTCCCCCCCCCCGCACCCCCCCCCCCCGCACAGAGTGAAAGGGGACTAGCAGCCTTAGGCAGGCCCTTGTTCTAAAGCCATCCACAGACCCCAGTCCAGTTCAGTTCTTTCCCCTATGTCCAGGCTCCCTCTCAGTTGCCACATGCCCTTCCTAGGTCACCTCCTCCCAGCACGGCCCTCTGGTTACACAGCTGCCCCTCCTCCAGGCATCTTGCTTCCCCTAAGGCACCTCCCACTGATCCCAGATTCCCTCCAGCTTTCTCCTGTGCCTGAGCTCTGAACCAGTCGGCATCTATTGACTGAATTGATTTTCCGAGAACTAGAGAAACGAAACTGAAACTAGGCCTGAGCTGACTGTGAAATGCAAGGGGGGGGGGAATGGGAGGGGGGAAGCTGTATGAAGGGGGCATTAGAAGGAAGAAAGCAAAACAAAGCAGAGCACAGGATGACTTACATCATCTGAAGTCACTGCTGCCCCCATCACCATGCATTCTACAACCACAGAAACATTGTACACCAGGAACCATGCTTGGACTCGATGCTAGCCACAGACCCTGCCCTCAGCCTGGAAACAGAGGTTAAGACCCTGTGACAGAGCTCTGCCCCTTAGGGAACACAAAGGGAGCCTAGTGTCTATCCTGCCAGTTCCCAGGGCAGGCAATTCAGGGAAAGAGATGCAGCAAGCAAGACCCTGGGTTCTGAGGAGAGGCACTTGCCTCTCTGAGCTGGGGATGTTCTCTGCAGAGCACGAGTCTGCTTTGAAACACAGGAGAAAGGTGCAGCAGGGCCCAGGGCCTATGCCACTTCTCCATGAAGGCCAGCATCTGTCACCCTCAGCGGTCTTGCAGGAGTACTGTGCTCAGCCTTCAGGACTTGTCACAAGTTGCCCAGAAGGACTGGCAGGGATCCTCAATGACTCTTGGGTTGGTTTGTCTCTGCTCCTTATGGTGCTGCTGGAGTGACTCAGTGCAAAGGGAAGGCTTGTCTAGGCTGTGTTCAGCTAAGATGAGGTCAGACTATTGTAGCAGAAAGGGCGGCACAGAGCAGGGCTGGCCCTGAGGGAAGCAGGCATCATCTGAGCTGGTGTTTACATAACAGGTTTTGAGCCCTAAATAAGCAATTTCCAAAACTTAGGAACTAGCCAAAGGACCTTGAGGGTGAGTTTCATTTCTGAGCTCTGTTTGTGTAGAGTTGGGGTGGGCAGCAAGCTCTGGTCATTTCACTAAGTTTCAGTTCTCCCTAGGAAGGGGAGGAGCCAGCCAGCACTGTTTAAAAGGTTGGAGCTTAGCAGCTGTGCACTCTATCACTTCACAGAGAGTCCCAGTGGTGAGTACAGAACAGGATTCTGTGCAGGGCTAGAGGATGCTTCTGGGTTCCCTATAGATCCTGGAAGGAGGGCACTGTGGGACATTTCTCAGGGCTTTTAAAATAAGAGGGTCGGCGATAGCATAGACAGAACTACTGGGCTAGACATTGTGGGTCCCCTCCATTCTTCTGGTTCCAGGGGGTAGTCTGAAACAGCCCCACAAATCCCAGTATCTCTGCTAGGAGGCAGCAGGAGAGGGTGGGGTCCTGGGCTACGGCCTAGATGAGAGATTTCAGATCCCCTACAGCATGGGCCAGGAGCCCATGGGAAAGCAGATGGAAGTCTCCCGTTAAGGGTGGGAGGAAGCCAGGTGACTCAGGGGGAGTCTTTGAAATACAGGCAGGAGAGCCTTCTGGAAGGGCTGACAGAGAATCCATGGAGAGAAATGTACCTGCTCAGGGTCTTCCCAATCCCCAGACAGGAGATGTCCTGGGTGGTCTGAAGCCCTACCTCTGCTCAGAGTACAGGATATCCCACAGACCTTCCATTTCAGTCTCAACCGCAGGGGGACACAGAGGGCAGGGACCTGGGAGACGAAAGGGCTCTGTGTCTCTCCGTAGACACTTTAACATCCAGACAGGCCTGGGGAAGGCTCCCATTCTTTATCATCTCAGGTTTCCTGGACAGGCAGGGTAGGGCATGGTTAGGAGTTCTGACAGTGAAGGGGGCTAGATCTTATTCCCATGCTGCCACTGTTTCCATCAGGACAGAAACCCAGGGGAGCCCTGCCATTGGGATCTTTGCCCATACTAAATGGTATATGGCACACAAGGGCCATTGGCAAATGCCCAGTGCCTACTGTAGAGTAGGAGTGTAGTCAGCCACCCCAAGAATAGCACAAATGGGCATAGATGTGCCCGGGTAGGAACGCTTAGAGCCCACCACACCTGGTTAACTTGTGTGTGACTGACCCTGGCCTTCCTTCACTTGAGGTGGGTGCCTGCATAAAATGTGGTGGGGCTTCCCTGATAGTCTCTGTGCAAATGAATCTGTAGTGTGAAAGAGTTAGGACAGGGGGAGACAGGAGGCAAGGGTGTCCTGTAGCTCCCTGAAAATGAGGGTTGGTCTAGTGCTGGGAACAGCTTGTGCTTAACTGGACCAAGATGTAGATGGGCAGATGCGCTCACCTCAGGTTGACTGTGCAACTGGCTTCCCAGAGCACTGAATGAACAGAGGAGGGTGATCCTTGAGGTTGCTCTGCTCCTGAGATCCACTAAGTCTCAAGGGTCATTCAGAAAAATTTCAGGTGTTTGTGATTTGCAGAGATCCCAGAAAAGAATCAGATTCCCTAAGTACTGTTTTGACTGGTCACTAGGAATCTTTGGTCATGGGACACAAGGTATGGGATCAGTGATATTCCTTGATCATACAGCAAAACTAACAAAGACAACCATGGACTAATAGATGAGGCTCAAACTGAGAGTAAAGGGTCATTCACTCTGTAGCCTGGGACCCCTTGTAATATGAGGCCTTTCCAAAGCAGGAGAAGGAGAGCTGTGTCTGGAAAAAAAAAATGTTCAGATTAACAGACTCTATGAGTGCCTTTAGAATTACTATCCTACATGATCTCCCTTCCACATCAGAAATAAATACCTGCCTTTCTAAGAGAGATGATGGGGTTATGTTGTTGGGAAGCACAGAACCCCGGGGCTGGTAGGAAAGGAACGGAGGTTGTAATACTGTTATCTCTGATGTGAAACTTAGCCAAGGTCTGGAAAATTGGTTTCTAACTTACAATCCTCATTTCCAACAGAGCGCCCAAAAGGAGAAGGAAATAAAGATGGTTCTTAGCACAGAAGAAATCAGAAGCCCTACTTCAGTCACCTCACCCAGTGACCCATTGCCCAATGGAGAGACTGGCCTAGGAGAGAAAAACCAGGTATGACCAGTGTCCACCTGAGGACTGCTGCTTTATGTCACACCCTCTGAAGGTGGTGGCTTCCTTGACCTTCCTGGGGCAGGATGCTGGTGTGTGTCTACTGTTTACTTTGCTTGGGCCAAGGTAAGACAAATGGCCCTCTCTTGTCCTTCACAGGATGTTGCCTTGGTCTGGGAAAGGTGGTATTATTAGGAACCGGTGCTATGCTGTTCCCTGTGCATACCATGAATCTCCAGCTACAATGTTAGGACTTAGTGAGACTGAATCTTGGGAGAAGCCATTTGGTATCTGTTTTCACTGAATTGGGATCCAGCTTTACTGGGAAACAAATGTGTTCTCTGGGCTTCTATCAGCATGGCCCAGCCTGGCCCAATCAGCTGTCTGACCTTGGGAGGGTCTTCCTTTCCCCCCTCCAGCAGTGGTTTTCCCATCTCCATGGTGGGATTGTGAGCATAGGCTATTGAGAAAATCATGTGGCTAGGGTATACAGAACTGTGTCCTCATTCCCTCTTTGAGACATTGGACCAGCTGGTTGCTGGTTTCGGGTTATGTGCACTAAGTAAAGCTCAACACTTTTTAAAGTCAGTATTAACAACACTGCCAAAGGTCACAGACAATGAGAAGGGCCACTGTCTCTCCATCTCCCTAAAGCTCTGTTTGTATTTCCTTCTTGCCAGACTATAACCCTCAGAGTGAGGGGCAGAAGGAATTCGCACCCAGCGCATCAGTCAGTTTTCTGTTTCTGTGACCAAGTTCCCAAAAGAATCAGCTTATAAAGAGGAAAGGTTATTTGCCTCACCGTTTCAGAAATCACATCCCATGCCCACTAGCTGCCATTGTTCTAGGCCTGTGATGCATGGCAGGATGGAACAAAGCTAATGTTTAATGACTGGGGGGTGGGGGGAGTGGAGGGGTAGAGCAAGGACTGGGGTACAAGTTCATTTCAAGGTCATCCTGGCAATGATCTATATCCTCCCAGTAGTCCCCAGCTCTTCCAATCCTACACAACATTCCAAGAATAGCTGGGGACCACACCTTCACCAGGAGGTCTTTGGGGGCATGTTTCAGATCTAAACTCCACATATACTCACACCTACATACTTTGGAAGCAGCTGTCTTTTTTCTGTCCAGGTGACAGGCTATCTGTGGTTCCTCATTACAACTCCTAGGCCAAGAGGGACTGAGTTTCTGATTTTGGTGCTTTTAGACCCACAGTAGCAGAACAGCCTCCTCTGTGAGACCTAGTGCTCTAGCCATGTGAATAACAGACATAGATATGCTCTGGAGGAACTCCTGGGCCTTTTAGGAGTGCAATTGTTGTTAGTAACAAAGCCCCAGAGGACCTGCTGCTGGAGTTCTGGGAGCAAGACCTGGGTTTGGGGTGCTGTTGCTAAAACCATTTCTCTGGGAGAGACAACAACATATGCCCCTCCTTCTAAGGTCCTAAGAACAAACCAAGGTGCAGTTCCACCAGCATTCATCAGGGAACCAATGAGTTTATTAGGCTTCCTTGCAGAGCAATGGGGGAGGGGTTAGAGCAGGAATGTGGTGGCCCTAAAGCAACCACACTGGAAGGTCTTCATCCAGCTGAGACAGCGGCTGCGCCCTGACTGTGTAGAGTTCCCCTCCCTTCACTACTCTCAACCTATATCCTCTAGCCCTTCCATAGGCCCAAGGCCATGTGCAATTAGAGCAGAATTGCACACAACTGGGAAGAGTTGTCAGGATACAAAGCTGCAAAGGAAATGGCTGTGTGTCTGTGTAGAAAGCTTAAGCACAGGCAGCAACACAAGGGTCAGCTTGGGGAGAGGCAGGCAAATGATACTGAAAAGCAAGACTATGGTTGCCAAGCACCTGGGGCAGAGGGCCGTGCTGGAGTGAGAGAGTGTTGGGAGAGAGGTGAGGTGTGGGTGGAGAATTCTGGTCCTAGAAATGATTGTTTCCTTCATGGGGTGCTCCTTCTATTATTATTAACCGTTGTAAGTGGATGTAAAAGGGCACAAAAACAAAATGTTGCCAGGACTCAGACTCACTGCTGAACACCATAGACATAGTGAGGTCTCAGACCCAGTCTCCCAAAAGCTGTCCTGGGTGTGCTCAGTGGGGTCAGACCACATCTGGTTAGGGAGTCTGTGTCAGTGTGGTCTGAGTTAGGCTGAAGCCTATATTAACCCTTTGTCAGGTATATACTTTGCAAACATTTGCTTCCTGGCTGACACTGTATTTTTTCCTTTTTGGGAGACCAGGTCTTTAGCTTTGATGACTTTATGAATTCTTGTCTGGATTGTGCCTTTTGGGTCATTTCTAATAAGCCAGGACTTAACTCACATTTGGAGATTGTTTTTGTTATTGTTTTCAAGAACATCTCTCTATATATGTATTTTTTTTTCCTTTTCCATCTAGGTCTGCAATGGATAAAGAGTTCACTTTTATGGTGAGGGGTAGCAATGTAGGTCTTTTCAATTAAATGCAGATAGTGACATGTTCCAATATGGCTTGGTGAAAAGCCAGTCCTTTGCCAAAGATTGCCTTTGTATCTTGTCAACACCAGCTTCATGTGTTGACCCGTAGAGTTGTATGTTGTCTACTAATGCTCTGTTCCATTCTGTGACATACACACCCTCTCAGCCACAACTTTTTCACCATCTAAGGACAAGAGGCTCCCACCCTCACACTTTGTAACTGTTTTAGAGCCATTTTACCTGTTGGAACAGAATTTAAGACATTTATAATTAATGGCTGCTGTTAGATGAGAATGCCTGTTGTTATTTTTTTTTTTAAGTGTGTGAAGCATTTGTTCTTCCTCCCTCTTTTCCCTATAGTCTTCCACATTTAGGATTAAACATCTATATTTTAGGCCTGCATATCATATCTTCTGCTGGCTACGTTAGTATCTGTAGTGTCTGCCTTTAATAAACTTAGTAAGCCTATCTATGAGGGACAGAATAACCACTTCCTGTGTGGTGTAAGAACTCTTTCTCTGATGTTGGCCTCCATCCCATCTGTCATGGTCTTCCTTACAATGTATTGCCACTGTTTGTACTCAGGTGTCACTTAAGGATGGTGAAGTCATAAGAAATCTGTACCAGTAACCACTTGTGTTACCTAATCCAATATGGATTTAGGCCTCCTCTCCTGTCACTTTCCCTCTGTACTCAGAATTCCTTTTACAATTGCTGCAGTGTGGATAAGTTTGTTCAGGTTTCGTATCTGGAAAGTCTGTATTTTGCCATCATTTTCTGTGTTTCTAATAATCATCTCCTGGTTTTCATGAGAACAGCTTGGGAGAGTTTCAGAGTAGGGCTCCTTAACTGTCACATTTCAACCAGGGTGAACTTAACTCTCCAGTGTGACCTTGACTCTCCAAGTCTTAGTTTTCCATCTAAATTATAGGATCTAGTGATAAAAGAGCACTTGTCTAATTTCTTTACTGTAAGGGATGGGAAAGATATGTACAAAGTGCTCAATGACTTATCCAACACTTAGCACTAAGCCAAACTCTCACCTTCCTTCCTAATGGAGTTGTAATTTAATTAACACTCCTTAAAAAGAAACTAATGAACCTCCCTGGCTTCGTGTAGCTTCTAAGGTAAAGGGCACATTGCTGACCAAAGACACACTAATTCCCAGCCATTCAATGTTCACTGACAATTCTCCCTCATGACATAGCTTTATTCTTCCCTCATAAAAAAAAAAAAAAAAAAAAAAAAAAAAAAAACCTTTTTTTTTTTTCTGGATATAGAAGACTAGGTTCATGGTGTTTTTTATCAGCAATACAAACATTTTTTCAAAATAGAGATGTAAACAGTTATCAAGATGGTTTGGCAAATGGCCACTCCACTGTCTTCACATTTCCATTCTTTCTGATACAAAATTAGCTGTCACTCTTGTATTTGCCCCTTTTATATGTGAAGTGTCATTTTTCTGACTACTTTTAGTGCCTTCTTTTTATAACATTTGATTCAAATGGGCCCTGATGTAGTTTCTTCTGTATATACTGCACCTAAAGTTTGTTGACTTTCTTCAACCTTTGGGTTATGATTGACATTAAGGAAGCAGGCCCTGGCCCTCAGTAGGTAGTAAGGGAAGAGTGGCCCAGGGTGACGAACTGCAAGCTGCCCACACGTCACAGTGAAAGCAGAGGCTGTGGTTAAAAGGGAGACTAAGGGTTAAAGGGGTGGTATCCAAAGACCGAGGAAGATGAGCGGGAGGGCTTGGAGTTAGCTATGAGATAAACAGGAGAAAGAGCAGAACTGTTGTCCAGTAACACAGGCCAGCCCTTGAGGACATATACATGTAGGGCATGATTGACTTTCTTATAGTCTGGCTTCTAATGAGGCCAACTGTAACAGAGAAAATTGTATATAAGGATGGCTTTTAACAAGAAACTTGTACTTGGGAGACCATCTCAGACCACTCCACAATAAGTAGCCAAATTTATGATAGCCAAGAAAGACTGCAGTTACATCTTGATGGCTACGATAGAGTTCTCTGCAGTAGTACAGTTTGCAAGTGGATCAGTTTAGTATAATCAATAGCACCTCGAGACACCTGCAGTGTGTGTGTGTGTGTGTGTGTGTGTGTGTGTGTGTGTGTGTGTGTCTTGGAGGCAATAACACTAGGGGGTTGTCAGTAGCAAAGCTGTAGTCAGAAGCTTCAATTACTCCTAACTGAACAGGCAAGCATAAACAGTACATGAGCATCTCTTGGTTGGGCCAGAGAGTGTGTGGCCTGCCATTGGCTCAACCAGTAAGAGTCCAGAGAATTAACATTCAATCTCCACAGAGATTCCTTCAGCCTTTGTCCAGTTTTTGCCATGCCCCTATAAAAACTGAACACGGGAAATGGCTTTACTTCCTCCTTAGAAACCTGTGTCACTCTTCTCTAGTGACAGTGAACTGGGGTCACCTCCAAAGGTCCAGCTCTGATAACCAGGAGTGTGCAGTACCTTAGGTTCTTGGGCCATGCACAACAACATGGATCCTGTCAATTTCATCATCAGTACAGAAGAATCAATGTTTCTTATTTCCTCAAATATATTTTTGCACATTTTTTTAATCTTGGCGATTCTAATAACTCCCTGAACTCAGCAGCCTGGGCTGGAGCATTTCCACGGAGTATGGCATTACTCTTGCTTTGCCCTCATCTAGGATTCTGTGAACAACCTCTGCAGACAGTATGAGGAGAAGGTGCGGCCCTGCATTGACCTCATCGACTCCCTGCGGGCCCTGGGTGTGGAGCAGGACCTGGCCCTACCCGCCATCGCTGTCATCGGGGACCAGAGCTCAGGGAAGAGCTCTGTGCTGGAAGCACTGTCAGGAGTGGCCCTCCCCAGAGGCAGTGGTGAGAGCTCGGTGCTTATTGCCTTGCTAGACTGTGGGATGTGGGACTCAAAAGGCAGAAACAGATCCGCTCCCAGTGGACTAAGTGGGTCAGGTCCCTAGTCCCTTCCTTTGAAGTGACCTTTAGAGAAGAGACTGGTGTCCAGGTTAGTGTTGCTGCTTAAACTCCACAGTTGAGGTGGTCATTTAGTGCTCACGGAGAGGTTACAGTCAATGTGGCCCAGGAACTCGGGTGGAATTCTTTGAGGCAGGAGTTGGAAGGAGATCATAACAGGGGGCATGATGAAGTAGCCTGAGGGACACAGTGACCAGGACGCTAGTGGAAAATGTCTGGTACATTAAACGTTCCACCAATGTCCCCAGAGAGCTGAGAGTACCACAGGAAGGAAGCAGTCTACTGTGGTTGGTGGCTTTTACCCCAATGGATAAACATGAGTGCGTGAAGGTGGGATAATCTAAGACCCTATGCTGGACTGTGCTCAGATAGCACTAGGCTGGCTTACATGGGCCTCATCTCCTAGGTATTGTCACCAGATGCCCTCTGGTGCTGAAATTAAAGAGGCTGGAGCAGGGAGAGCAGTGGAGGGGCAAAGTCAACTACAATGAAATCGAACTGGAGCTCTCTGATCCCTCAGAGGTGGAAGATGCCATCAACAAAGGTCAGTGTCCTGTTGCACTGTATTTTCCGACTGCCTGTCAGCAATTGCCTGGGGTCAGAGGGAAAGTGCTGAGTCATTCTGTCAAGACCTGTTCCAGCACACACAATGACACCCCTTCAAACCAGGACCCCCGGAAAGAAGGAGCTTTATATTCCTCCTCAGTGGCTGTGGCACAATTCCTCATAGAGTGCCTTACAGGAGGACATATTTCACTCCTGGATTCAGAGGGGCTTTGTCTATGGTCACCTTTTCCTGTGATCCTGGGAGGAACATTATCGTGACAGGAACAAGTGTCGATAGAAAGGAAACAGAGTGCCCTAGGAAAGGCCCACAAATAAGATATATGGACTTACCTTCAATTGAACTACTTCCTCTAGCATGGTTCCACCTCCCAAAATGTCTTGAAGCTCAAAATATGACCAGTTGGGGACCAACCCAACTTTTCAATACAGGAACCTGTGGGGTCACTACATAGGCAAGGCATGCTTTCCCAGAGTTCCCTGGAATATGATCTCTTCTATCTGCCCTCCATTCTCCCTATCCCACCCCACCAAGCTTGACCACAATTCCCTTTTCCTCTTTGCAGCCCAGAACTGCATTGCTGGGATAGGGCTAGGGATCAGTGATGAGCTCATTAGCCTGGATGTCAGCTCCCCGAATGTCCCAGACCTGACCCTGATTGACCTGCCTGGGATCACCAGGGTGGCTGTAGGCAACCAACCTGCAGACATTGGACACCAGGTGAGACTCTAGATTCCACTCTGACCCACTCTGGGATACAAAGGGCACTGCAGTATGTCCATGGCTGTGTCTAAGAGGGACCTTGTAGAGGTGGGAATGAGACTGGATGGCCAGGATTCACTACAGAGCCATGCAATCCATGGAAGCCAGGGCCTGAAGCAAGTCATAACCAATCACGCTCAATTCTGTCTCCATAACTAGGAGTTGCCATCTCATTTCTTACAGATCAAGAAACTCATCAAGAAATACATCCAGAAACAGGAGACCATCAACCTGGTGGTGGTCCCCAGTAATGTGGACATCGCCACCACGGAGGCACTGAGCATGGCTCGGGAGGTGGACCCTGAAGGGGACAGGACCATAGGTGAGGAGAATGGGAGATAACAGTGGTGTGTGGGTGCCAGTGGGGACAGATCCCCTGCATCCAAATGGACCAAGCTCACTGCACATCCAGGATCCCACTGAGTTGGGATCCAGTGACCCGTTCATCTCATCTCCCTGGTAGATGAGGGGTCAGAGGTGGGCAAGCATGGGGAGGAAATCATATTTGCTGAGACTCAGTGGCTTAGGAGCCATGGTATGGTTCACACAGAGAGTAAGCATGCACAGCTGTTGCCTCTCCTCTGAGTGGTGGCTATGGAGAGGTGCCAGGAAGGAGCCTGCAGCTGATCGAGGAGCTTTGCTGTTTTCACAAGGCCTTCTGCACATATCTCTGTGGGTGGACTTCTATCCTTGCATGGGTTCTGTCTACCTCAGCCAAGGATGGGATCCTCGTGGCAAGTGAGAGCTACATTTCCTGCTATCTTGGGGCAGAATATGTCTTCTGATTTCAGTGTCTATCCTACAGGGATCTTGACCAAGCCTGATCTGGTGGACAGAGGTACTGAAGACAAGGTTGTTGACGTGGTGCAGAACCTGGTGTACCACCTGAAGAAGGGCTACATGGTAGTCAAGTGCAGAGGTCAACAGGACGTTCAGGAACAGCTGAGCCTGACTGAGGCTCTTGAGAAGGAGCAAGCCTTCTTCAAGGAGCACCCACACTTCAGGTACCTCTGCCAAACTCTCCCATGCAGTGGAAACTGCTGGTCAAGAACAGACCTGGCATGGTGTTGTATGTGCAACAGCCTTAGGATTATTGTCCCTTCAGAACCACCTCAGAATGTTCCTGAAAAAAAAAAAAAAAGCAATATGCACAAAGTGGTCCTTAAAGAGTAATGAGTAGAGAAGAAGAGGAGGGGAAAAGTAGAAGACCCAGAGCCCCATCATGCCTTTAGCATGTCATGAAAGTGGCACTCAGCCATGCTACACATCACATTAGCCATCTGGACATAGACAACTGTTTAGTACCTGCAAATGTGTTGCAGCATAACAAAGGTCAGACAACAATAGACAGAGTGATAAAATCTGAGCTTCCAAACACACCTGCTGACGAGGGCTTAAGTCCCACAAAGATTGTTAGAACCCCCTACTGCAGGAGCATTCTCTTTGAAAAGGATGTCCTAATCTTAGTGTGAACTGCTTGATTTGTTTCCATTTAGTATGATGTTGGCTATAGACTTTTATGGTATATAGCTCTTATTAGGTTTCCTAGATCCCTAGTGTCTCCATGGCTTTTGTCATTAAGGGATAATGGATTTTGTCAGAGGCTTCTTTTGTGTCTAATGAGATGATCATGTGATTTGTCTTTGAGGATGTTGTGTGATGATAATATGAAATGATTTACATATGTTGAACCCATCCCTACATCTTTGGAATGAAATAAACTTGGTTGTGATGAATGATATTGTTTGTATGCACATCAGTTTGGTTTGCCAATATTTTATTGAGAAATTTTGCATATTTCTTCCCCGTAGAGATTGGTATGTTGTTTTGTTTTGTCTTTATCTGGTTTTGCTATTAAGGTAATACTGGCTCCATAGAGAAGAGTTTGGAAACTGTCCATTTTCTCTTTTGGGAAGAATTTGAGCAGTGCTGGTGTGAATTTCTTGAAGGTCTGGTAGAATTCTTCAGTGAATCTGTCTGGTCCTGAGCCTTTTTTATTGGGAGAATTTTTATTACTATTTCAATCTGATTCCAGGTTTTGGATCTGTCTAAACTGTTTATTTCATCTTGGTTTAATTTTGCTATGTTGTATTCATCTAAGATTTCATCCATGTCTTTTAGGCTTTTCAGTTTCTTGGAACATAGGCTTTTAAAGTATGTCTTTTTGAGTGTCTGGATGTCTGCATTCCACTTGGATCTATTGCAATCTCTCTCTTAATTTGGCCAAGGATTTGTCAATCTTGTTTATCTCTTGTGAAGACCCAAGTGCTCATTTTATTGATTCGTTGTATTTTGTTTTCAATTCTATTTTTTATTATCTCATTTAATCTGTGATTTGGGAGTGTTGTTTGCTCTTTATTTGCCAAGGGTTTCAAGCGCATCACTAAGTTATTGATTTGTGATATCTCAAAAAAATACTTTAGAGATTTATTTGTTATGTATACAGGGTTCTGCCTACATGCATGCCTCCGCACCAGAAGAAGAAGGCACCAAATTTCATGACAGATGGTTGTGAGCCACCAGGTGGTTGATGGGGATTGAACTCAGAACCTCTGGAAGAGCAGCTAATGTTACTTTGTTTTATTTTGTTTTTCGAGACAGGGTTTCTCTGTAGCTTTGGAGCCAGTCCTGGAACTAGCTCTGTAGACCAGGCTGGCCTTGAACTCACAGAGATCTGCCTGTCTCTGCCTCCTGAGTGCTGGGACTAAAGGCATGGCACCACCAACGCCTGGCTGCAGCGAATGCTCTTAACCACTGAGCTATAAACAGAGTTTCTGTCCTACCTGGTCCCTCAGCACTTTAGTCCCAAATAAAGACACAGAGATTTATATTCATTATAAACTGTTTGGTTGATGGCTCTGGCTTCTTATTGGCTAGCTATCTCTTAATTATTAACCCATTTCTATTAAACTATGTATTGCCATGAGGCTGTGGCTTACCCATAATGCCCCAGCATGATACTTCTTTGGCGGCTACATCGCGGCTCTCTCTCTCTCTCTCTCTCTCTCTCTCTCTCTCTCTCTCTCTCTGTGTGTGTGTGTGTGTGTGTGTGTGTGTGTGTGTGTGTGTTCTCTTCTTCCCAGCATTTCTAGTCTGGTAGCTTCACCTATATTTCCTGCCTTGCTACTGGCAGGCAGGAACTAATCAATAAGGGAATCATATATTCACAGCATAACAGAAGGACGTTCCCCATCACTGAGCCATCTCTCCATTCCCAGATATCTCATAATTTTTGGTGCACTTGTGCTATAAACATTTTTCTTAGGACTGCTTTCACTGGGTCCTGTAGATTTTTTTTGTATGTTGTGTTTTCATTTCCCTTCAATTCTTAGATTTTCTTTCTTTTTCCTTTTCTCTGTTTCTCTCTGTCTGCCTTTCTCTCTCTCTCTCTCTCTCTCTCTCTCTCTCTCTCTCTCTCTCTCTCTCTCTTTGTTTTTTGAGACAAATTTTCTCTGTATAGCCCTGGATGTTCTGAATCTCTATAGACCAGGCTGACCTGCCTCTGCCTCCCAAGTGCTGGGATTAAAGCGATGTGCTTCTACCTCGCAGCAAATTCTTGGAATTTTTAATTTCCATATTTCTTCTGGATAACAATCACCATTCAGTAGTGTGTTGTTTGGTGACCTTAAGTCTGTGTATTGCCTGTGATTTTTATTGCTGTTGATATGTTGCTTAATCTTGTTACGGTCAGATAGAATTCAGGGTGTTATTTAAATTGTCCTTTGTTTATTAAGACTTTATTTGTATTCTAAGTGTTGACACGTTTTGGAGAGATCTCCATGGGCTTCTTTTTTTTTTTTTTTTTTTTTTTTTTCCAAGTGGAAGACACGTTTTATTGATTTTTTCTTTTTCTTTTTTCTCCATGGGCTTCTGAGAAGAATGTGTAGATGTGTATTCTTTACTGTTTGGGTAGAATGTTCTATAGATGCTTGTTACAGCTACTTTATTTCTTTTTTCTTTTCAATTTTGTCTGCCTGTCTGTCTGTCTGATTGAGATAAGGTCTCTCTATTAATCTCTGGCTGTCCTGGAACGCAGTGTGGGATTAAAGGTATGGATCACTAGGCCTAACTCCATTTGATTTCTGATATCATTCAACTGTCATGTTTCTCAGCTTAAATCTTGTCCACATGGTCTATCTATTGATGCAAGCTGTATATTGATGTCACCCATTATCAGTGTGTTATTCAGTCTGTATTTTTACACAGATGAGTGATACCATTTTAAAATCAATCTGGTTTTATACAGATTGATTAATGCCATTTTAAAATGAAATTGGGGGCCCTGTGTTTAGTGCCTACATGTTTAAGATTGTATTATCCTTTTGATAGATTGTTCCTTTGGTAAGTACAAAGTATCCCTCTTTTTCTCTTTTCACCAGTTTTATGATGAAGTCTACTTTATCAGAAATTAGCTATCCTGCTTGTTTCCTAGATTAATTTGTTTTTCCACCCTTATCTTGAGGTCATGTCTATGATTGGTAGTAAACTCTGTTTTCTGAAGGTAGCAAAAAGATGAATTCTATTTTCACATCCAATCTGCTATCCTGACTTTATTGGGGGTCTGAGACAATATTCAGAGTTATTATTGGCAGATACATGCTAATTACTGTCATTAGTTTTTGTTTTGTTTTGTTTGTTTTTGATTTTGTATTTTGAGAGAGGGTCTCAATATGCAGTTCTGGCTGTCCTAGAATTCACTATGTAGATTATGTTGGCCTCAAACTCACAAGGCATCCCTGAACCACCATTCCTGGATTTGTCATTTATTTTGTGGTATTCTTTGACCTCTTTTGAGAGACTATATAGTATTGCCTATTTATTCCCTCTGATTTCTTGGCTATGTTAATCCTCTCTTCATAGCTCTGTATTTCTCCCAGGACACTCTGTTAAGCTGAATTAGTAGTCATAAATTCCCTAAATCTGTTTTTATCATGGAAGATTTTATTTCTCCATCAATTTTAATAGGTAGTTTTGCTGGGTATAATAGTCTGAGTCAACAGTTATGATCTTTCAGGACTTGGAATACATCTTTCCAGACCCTTCTGTCTTGAAAAGTTTCCATTTCCTGCTTGCCTTTAATCCCAGCACTTGGGAGGCAGAGGAAGGTGGCTCTCTCTATGGGCTGGAAGCCAGCCAGGGCTATGTAGAGAGGACCTGGCTCAAAACAAAATTTCCATTGTTTCTATTCTACCACAGTTTAAATAAACAGACCAGTGTGAAAACTGGAACCCCAATAAGAGTAAGCTATCACTTATAGGCAGGAAGAGTTCTAACTCCCTGATGACTTGTATCCTAAGGCTTAAAAGTGTACTGTTTGAACACAGATTTTGACAGCATGGGAATAGTGTAGCTTCATGCCTTTGAGAGCCCATGGCTTAAATCCTTTCTTGGACCAGAGTGTGTCTCCCCACTTTACTTGTTCATCACACATATTCAAAAACATGTCAGTGACTTTGTATAAAGACCAGGCTCTATATGTAGTGTATGTATTCTTGTATATTATGTATATGTGTGTATGTATTCATCAGTCTAACCTATATAGAAGGATGTGTTTACTTATATGTAATTTACGTGTGTGTGTGTTTACTCACATGCCACACATGGAAGGATGTGTTGTACACTTGTGTGCGCCACACATAGAAGGTGTGTGCATATGTGTTGACATGTATCACACATAGAAGGGGATATTGTGCTATGATAACATATCTGTAGTTGTGTACATGGTTGTTGGAGAACAGAGTTTACTCTGATTATTAACGTGCTGAGGGAGGTCATTGCAGCCCATTGTGGAACTATCCTAGCTGGCTCCCCTGTATCATTGTACAAAACCATCTCTGAGTACTCCATGAGTACCAGTCTCAAGGCACCCATTCATTGATACTACCCAAACTGGCCCTGGCCTCCCCACAACAGGCTGTGGACTTGTGTTTGGACAAAGTCTAATGGGATCTTCTCTCCTATCCCCTCAGCGTTCTTCTGGAGGATGGGAAAGCCACAGTGCCCCTTCTGGCAGAGAGACTGACCACGGAGCTCATCTCACACATCTGTGTAAGCTGGGATGGTTGTGTCTCCATCAAGCTGAGCTGGGATTGGGACAGTCCTGGGCACACAAGCTGGCCAAGATCTCTTTGCAGTGACATGTTGTGTTTGGGAGTCAGTGACTCCTGCATCAGAAGGCTTTGTGCTGGTGTCCGCTGCTGTCACCCTTGGGGTCTGGGTGGCATGGCTGTGAGCCCCTCATTCTGGAGCTGACCTCAAGAGCCTGAGTTCAGATAGGCTCTTCAGATAGAAGCCATGTTCCCTTCCTCTGACCTGAAGGAGTCTGCATCTGAAACTTCTCCACCTGGGGAGTTGAGAATACACAGCACATGTGGATTTAGTGTGGAGACCTGCTTGAGGACTGCTGTGGAAAGATATTCAGTGGTGATCTTCTTCCTCTGGGCTCTTCTTCCTGTTCAAGGTCTTCCTGCAGCCTTGGGATGCAGGTGGAGATCAGGGTGTCTGCAGGGCACCATGATGTTGATGCTCTCTGGGCTTGCTTGACGCAGACAGAGGCAAGCCTGTTCTTGCTGAGCTCTGGGCCTTGAGCTGCCTGGAGACAGCAAAGCTATAGAAACCCTCCTTGAAATCCTTGGCAGACTTTGACATGTTGAAATCGACACAAAGGTTTAGGAGACTTGTGTTGTTCTAACTTCCCTGTTTCAGAAGCTACTAGAAGGTTCTTTGTGGCATTTCCCTGAAGAGAGCTCATGTCTCTGATACAGAAAGAGGTGACACTGGGCGGCTCATTTAGGAGGCAGCCATGTGCAACGGACGGGGCTATGTATCAGATAGAGGTGTGGGTAAACCTGTGTGGGAAGGAATGCTTCTCATGTGCTGCTCTGCACCAGGCAAGTTGCAGGACTTCAGAATGTTACTCTTGTGTCACGGCGACTCTGCAGAGCAGGCTTCGGGCCTCCTTTGCATTCCCAGTCTGTATTTCTATATCCCACTCTCTTCTTTCCATTTCAGAAATCTCTGCCTTTGTTAGAAAATCAAATAAAGAACTGTTATCAGCATGCCACCGAGGAGCTGCAGAAGTACGGCACAGACATACCAGAAGATGACAGTGAGAAAATGTTCTTCCTGATAGACGTGAGTATTCCCCATAGTAATGACTACATCACTGTCTACGCAGGAATTGCTGTCTGGTGCTCTTCAGATATCAAGCCTCCAAGGCTGATGGAGATGCATTTAGTCTTAAAAAAGGAGTCAGGACAGAGACTACAGTTGAGTGCAGGGTGGGGCTTGTGGGGGGGCATTTTCATTTTATCCACACTGACAGAAGAGTTCTCCCCAGGGATCCTAAAGGAAAAGGAAGAATGGAAGTATTTCCTGCTACATTAAGGCCCTTCTTCTGCTGAGCCCATGAAGAGGAGGTGGCTTGCCCACCTTCAAGGCACACATGTCCCTTTACTACCTTGACCCCATGCTTAGAAGATCTCTGCTTATACCAATGTTATTCTTCTTGACAGAAAATCAACACTTTTAACCAGGACATCACTGCCATAGTACAAGGGGAGGAGAATGTCGGGGAGGGAGAATGTCGCCTGTTCACCAAGATCCGAAACAAGTTCTTCTTGTGGAGTATGGAGATTGCAGATAATTTCCAAAACGGTGAGTATCTTGTTCAGTCTGGGTTGCTATCCTTAACAATCTTACACTCCGTTGTTATTTAGAGACAATAGGAGATTATCACTCACAGTTCTTGGTGCTAGGAGTGTCCCAGGTCGATGCATCAGAAGATGAGGTGTCTGGTCTCTGCTTCTTTCAGATAGCTCAGTTTATCTGAGAGTGAGTCTCCGCAGCCCCTATTGTTTATATATGCTGCTTGGGCCTGGTGAATCTAGTCAGTTTAAGGGACTTTCTGAAGTCACTAAGTTGTTGATTTCCTGAACTTAAGGAGCTTCCCCAGATGATGAAGCTTTTCACCTCCCTTAGGAACATCCTGTTTTTTTTTTTTTTTTTTTTTTGTTTTTTTTAACCTCCTTCCTAGTATCCTACAACTTCAGGAGTGCCCTTCCAAAATGGAAAGTTTTGATCTTGGAGGAAACTGCTGCCTATCCAGGACCTTAATCCTGGGACATCTTAATAATATATTTCATTATGACAACGAGAAGATAATACAAGCGCATACAGCACCCCGCCTCAGCTTCATAGCTTCAAAATCTGAAGTGGGGAGAAAGTTCTATAAATCTGTTCGTTGATCACATGTCTGTACTGAGAAAGCTGCCATGGCTGAGGGGAATTCCAAGGGACTTTGGCTTATTTGAAGGGGGGCTTGATGAAAACATATAATTGGTTTGAACCAACCAGAGGTTCTGACAAACTGCTTCCCCTGGCTGTGAGTGACAGATGTACAGAGTGGAGTGTTCTATCTCCTTCGGGCTACATGCAGAATCTGTTAGTCCCTAGTGGAGGGTGTGTCAGGTGGTCAGGGTGGGTAGCATTGTGCTTTTGTAGAGAACTTTTGTAGAGATCTGCCTGCCTCTGCTTCCCTAGTGCTGGGATTAAAGGTGTGTGCCATCACTTCCCCCCAAGGCTCTGACTTCCTCCATGTACCTACCGTGCCCACCTTTTCTGCCATACTCACCACTACTAAGTTCAGACGGCTGAGGCTAGAACACGATAGGCCCTGCACTGTGTCCTCACACCAGGGAAGAATCACTGTCCCATTTCAGAACTTCAGAAGTGTCTGCCACTATATCTGATGGAGGAGAGACTAGAGACTAGAATATGAAGAAGCTTTACAACTTGAAGGTACAAGAATAGGATCCAGTTAGGACAGTAAAAGACGTTTTTCCAAAAAGAAGATATACAAATGACTAATAAAACACAGATACATGGGCAGTGGCCATCAGAAATGCAAATGAAAACACCGGGATAATTCTGTCCCAGCCCCTAGGAAAATTGGAATCAGAAAGGCAGACACTGGCAGGTGCTGGGGAAGAGACAGGGGAAAGGAAACCCTGGTGTAGTGGTGGGGAGTGGGAAATGGAACAGTTGTTGTGGGTTATAGCAGTGAACCCACAGAGAGGCCAACACACGATGCCCATGTCCAGTCCCAAGGGGCTGCTATGAGGGAGCAGTCAAACATAGAAGTCTTCTTTACCCTGAACCTGGGGTCTTCTCCCCATGCCTTCACAAGTCCTTTACTTTGGGTATTTAAATGTCTTTGTCCGTCATTGTAAGGACACAGTGGATTAGAGACCACCCTAAGAGATTTCTTTCTGCTTAGTAATTTCTTTTAAAAACTTCATTGGAAACTAGTCCTGTCCTGAGGTGCTGGGTAGTTAGACCACAGCACAAGGATTTTGAGGGAGGTGATTCAGCTCCTAGCATCACTCAATGGAGTATTCTAACTCACAGAAAGGCACAGAAGGAATTGAGATACACGGTACAGGACGGATAAGCCTTGATGACAGGATACTGAGTGAAAACCACCAGTCACAGTGGCCTTCGGCATGCGATTCCATTTTAGAAACACCCAGAATACATACATGGTGTAAACAGAAGGTAGAGCAGGAGGTTGGGGAGAGGGCAGAAAGGGAGGCATCAACTGCTCATGAGAGTAGTTCCTGAGGGTGACAGAAACATCCCAGAGTCAAGTATTAAACCGTGGAGCTTGGCTCATAACTCTGAATATACTTAAAGTCTTGCTTAATGAGTAAAGTTTTATTTTATTTTATTCTTTGGAGGACTGGAGTGATGGCTCAGGGGTTAAGAGCACTGACTGTTCTTCCAGAGGATCTAGGTTTGATCCCCAGCACTCACATGATGACTCATTACCGTTCGTAACTCCAATCCCAGGGGATCTGATGTTCTCTCTGAACCTCTGGAGGCGCAGTATGTGAATTTGTACATAGGCATACATGCAGGCAAAACACCCATATACATAAAACTGATAAAAAAAAAATAAAAATGGCTAGTTCATCACAGGGGAAGCTGTGGCTATCTGAGTCTGCTGCCCGTTTCTAGCCCAGAAGGAATAAGTGTTTTGTCTCATGAACAGGGAGATCAGGTCACACTGGGGCCACTTAGGTGCCCACTTGCTCTGTCATCTCTTGCTGAGGGGCAGCTCCACCCAGCTCTTGACTCTGCCTATAGGACACAGGGCCAATGAGCCATATGCTCTGTCTCCTATTCTTTGATCAAATCCAGCTGGAACCAGGTGATTCAGCTCCTAGCATCACTCAGTGGAGTAAACCCACCCATTCAAGGTCTTTTTGAGACTGTGTCCTCCTCTGGTTTCCACCTGTTGGATTAGGCCGTGGTCTCTGGCTCTGAACATGCCTTTTACCTCAACTGAGTGAAGTGGCCTTGAGATTGTATTCTCCCCTGTAACCCCAAATATTTTTCAATATGCAGATATTTACTTGCTGCATTTTACCTCAGTAAATCCAGTAAGACCAAAATGGATTTGTTTAAGAAAATTTGCAAGATGGCTTTATAAAACAACTAACAGATACCTCCTACTGTAGGTTATGATGCGTTATATAAAGAAGTCTGGAAATTTGAAAAGCAGTATCGAGGCCGAGAGCTGCCAGGGTTTGTGAACTACAAAACATTTGAGAACATCATAAGACGCCAAATCAAAGTCTTGGAAGAACCAGCTGTAGAAATGCTGCACAAGGTCACTGGTGAGTGCTGAACAGGGTCATTAGAAATACTGTTTCTCTCAGCCATTTTATCTCTGGACAGGGGACAAAGACTCTGGGACAGGGGACAAAGGCAATGCTGTACCCCTCCCCCCACCTCTCCTATTCCCCCACCCCTCCCTGGCAGCTGTCCTCTAGAGCTGGTTCTAAGTGGGTGGTAGGTTTTCTGTGCTTTAGATGTCACTGTGGTATCCAGTCCATTCTGACCCTGTGGGCACAGGGATTTGCTGTCAGAGGGCAGTCACCTAACCTCATAGGCCCTTAGCCCGATCCTGTAAGCAACACAGCCAGAATCCTTAGCCTGCAGCTGTATTTATATTAAAGAGAGTTCTCTAGAAATGTAGGCTTACCTTCTTCTTCATTTGGGTAGGGAGGAAAGGAAGGGGGTAGGGAGAAGGAGGGCATCCATTCCCTCACCCCTGCTCCCCCCCACACCGTTTTGCATCTACACAGAGTGAACACATCTTAACCACTTACTAAGTTAAACTGTTTTTTTCTCTCTTCAATCAGAAATGGTACGAGCTGCCTTTACCAGTGTTTCTGAAAAAAATTTTGAAGAGTTTTTTAACCTTCACAGAACTACCAAGGTAAAAACCAAGTGTGTTATTATTTTTAAAGCATAACGGATATGACAAGTAGAAAGCAAGTATTTGGGGCTGAGACTATTTCTCCTTTCCTGTGCTTGTTTGGAAAAGTCTTAAGTTGCTGCTTGAATCTTGTTGATGAGGCTGCCGGTGCTGTCTGGCTAAAATGGGGGCAGGGAGAGGAGGGAGAAGGAAGGCAGGGATAGAAGGGAGTACTGTCAGGGAGGTTCACAGGCCCATTTATAGGAAGACACCCCTGACAGTGAGTGAAAAGTGTCAGATGTAGGACTCAGGGATGACATGGATAAAATGGATTGTGGGAAGTAAGACATTTAATAGAATCATTGTTAGTGTCATGGGCAGGCAGACAGACAGTATACCAGTGGTTCTGAGGAAAGTCAGGCTCCAGAGACCAGAGACACTCCAGTGGGGGTCTGAAGAAGACCTGGGACTATGGAACAGACTTAGGATCCCTTCTTACAAGTCTCTAAGGAAGGGGGAAGGCTTTACAACCCTGCAGCCAGGTTCTCTGATACCCCAGCAGGCAGAAGGCAAAGGGTAGGGGGCAATGTGGCCCCTGTGATACCCATCAGTAGCATCTTGATACCCTTTGATGTGTGTGATGTATCTTGGTAAACTTACTTCCCAAGATGAGAAATTCAGGTGTCTGGGAGCCTGCTGGATTAGTAGGATAGCTGATGCTCTGTGAGGCTGAGGAAAAGAAAGGGCCGCTGGATTCTCAGGGACATAGTAGCAGACTGGGCTGGTTTCTAACAGTGATTCTAACAGTGGGGGTCTCAAGTGTGAAATTTCATCTGTTTAAAGGGTTGCAACAGCAAAAAGGAAAATGCCTCTACCTCCATAGGGACTGGCATGGCCAAGAAACCCAGCCCTCACCCAGGCAGACATGTCCTGTGCAGGTGGTCACTGGTTCTGCCATTGTCCAATCTGGGCCACAACTGAGATGTCTCATGGGCCTATGTTCCCAGCGTGGGAAGAGTGAGGCCTCCCGGAAGTTATGGTAAATGGGAGGTACAGCTGGAGCCACGCCCAGGACTGAGATTTACAGATTGCCCCTGCTGCGGTAGTCAGGTCAGGTCACTCTAGGCAAAGGCGGTCTTCCCTGGCTCCCCTGAAAGCCCTGGACGTGATACCCACAGGAGGTGACTGACCTAAACTGAGCCCCCCCCCCTTTGCACACTTGCTGGTAGAAACCACCTCCTTATTGTAGATGCTAAAGTGGCTAAAACAGCAAGGAGAGCGGCTGGTTCAGGGCTGAGGATGCACACAGTTCCTAGCTCTTCCTAGGTTAATGCCTCACTTCTCCCCTTATTGTGTCCTAATATCTGGTATGAACAACTTGATTGGGTTCATGGTTTGAGGGGATACATTCTGCTGCGGCCAGAATGGCGGGGCAGCAGAAATGAGTGCTGGTGTTCAGAAGCCCAAACTATATAATAGCATTGCCCACATTAGGCTGGGTCTTCCGTCTCAATTAAACATCTCTGGAAACACCTTTTCAGACACGCTCAGAGATGAGCTTCCTGAGTGATTCTAAATTTCATCAAGGAGCTGGAGAGATGGTTTGGTGGTTAAGAATGCTTGCTGCTCGGTTGCAGGGGTGGGGATGGGGGGGGAGAGGAAGAGGGAAGGGTCAGGGAACTAGGATTGACATGTAAAGCAAGCTTGTTTCAAATTTAAATAAAAAGAAAAAGAAAAAAAATGCTTGCTGCCCTTGTAGAGGACATGAGTTCAATTCCCAATACCCACGTCAGGTGGCTCCAACCATTTGTAGCCCCAGTTCCAGGGTATCCAGTACTTTTTTCTGGCCTCTGCAGGCACTTGATTGAATATGGTACACACAAATGCATGCAACACACACATACGCAAAATAAACAGATCTTTAAAAATAAACCCACTAAAGTTGATACTGAAGGCTGACCTTTAAATAGGGGCTATGCACATCTGGCTCAGGCTTCCTCTGGTTTCCATCCTCAGTGCAGGGGACCCTACATAGATGAGCTGAGCAAGGGGATACAGGGACCACTCCCGGGTGATGACTGTGTTTCTGCTGAGTGAGCAGATGCTTGTTGTGGTGTTTTTGTTCTTATTCCATGGCAAGCCTTTTTTTTTTTTTTTTTTTTTTTTTTTTTATTGTTTTGTTGGCTTACATTTCTCTTTCCTTGCAGTCCAAACTTGAAGACCTCAGATTAGAACAAGAAAAGGAAGCAGAGAAGATGATCCGACTTCACTTCCAGATGGAGCAGATCATCTACTGCCAGGACCAAGTGTATAGGGAAGCCTTGAAGAAGGTCAGAGAGAAGGAAGCTAAAGAAGAGGAGAACAGCTCAAAGTCAAGCTCCTTCACTTTGTCTAAGTCTGAAGATTTACAGAAGTTATCCATGGATGAGATCTTTCAGCACCTGAATGCCTACCACCAGGTAAAAATGTGGACACCTTGGAACTGGGTGTCCATTTGTTCCCCTTTGTTTCTTTGTTTTTTTGTGGGTTTTTGTTTTGTTTTGGGGGGGTTGTTGTTGTTTGTTTTGTTTTGTTTTGTTTTTGTTTTTGAGGCAGGGTTTCTCTGTGTATTCCTGGCTATCCTGGCACTCACCCTGTAGACCAGGCTGGCCTCAAACTCACAGAGATCCTCCTGCCTCTGTCTCCCAAGTGCTGGGGTTAAAGGTGTGTGCCACCAATACTGGCTGTTCCCTTTATTTCTGTGTGTCTCTCTATGTAGGATATGGACCTGCAATGGGACTTCAGGACAACTCTATCCTGAATTCTGGGTGAACCTCTGGGAATAGGTTATAATTCATTCAGATGAACAACTAGCTTAGAGCCACAGACATCTGCCTTTTATGGTCCATGTGACCCTGACTGTGTGACTTAAACTCTCAGAGCATTAGCTTTCTTCTCTATAAGATATGGTTTCAGCATCCCAAGCACCTGTGATGGAGGGTGGGGCCCTCGGCTCAGGGTTGAGATGCCATGCACTCATCGTGGTCCTGATGTCTGTTTGATGGGGCACACATCATGTAACACAAGTATAGCAGGCTCTACACAGTCAGAGACACAGGGACCTGGAAGCAACTACTCAGAGGTAGTCACGTTAACGTTCTAATGTACAGGCTTCCATCACTGGCTGCCAGAAGTCCAGTCTTGTCATGTGGCCAAGTGCATGACTCATGGGTCTTATGGCCATGCATCTGTAGATATCATGTTTGCTCTCCGTCTCTGGGACTCTGACAACTCCAGGGATGTCAACAAGTGGAATAGTAGAGTTTTTATCCTTCCTGCCTGGCTTGTTTCTCAGAGGATAACGTCCTCAGTGTCCCTACACATCATAGCACAAATCTGCAGACATTATCCATCCTTGTTAGCCAAGGCCCCCCCCTCCCCCCCCCTCCCCCCCCCCCCCCCCCCCCCCCTTCCCCCCCCCCCCCCCCCCCCCCCCCCCCCCCCCCCCCCCCCCCTTCCCCTTCCCCCCCCCCCCCCCCTCCCCCCCCCCCCCCCCCCCTCTCCCCTTCCCTCCCCCCCCCCCCCCCCCTCCTCCCCCCCCCCCCCCCTCTCCCCTTTTTCCCCCCCCTCCTCCCCCCCCCCCCCCCCCCCCCCCCCCCCCCCCCCCCCCCCCCCCCCCCCCCCCCCCCCCCCCCCCCCCCCCCCCCCTCCCCCCCCCCCCCCCCCCCCCCCCCCCCCCCCCCCCCCCCCCTCCCCCCCCCCCCCCCCCCCCCCTCCCCCCTTTCTTCCCCCCCCTCCCCTCTCCCCCGGGTCCCACCCGGAGTACCACCTGGTACCATATAATAACAGGTGTGGTGATACGTGCCTGAATTTCTAGCACTCTGGAGGTAGAGGAAAGAAGGTAAGGTCAAAGCTATCCTCGGTTATGTCGAGTTTGAGACTATCCTGGGGTATATAAGACCCCGGTGGAGAATAAAACAAGAATTTGGGAAAAGGAAATAAAAGAAATGGTGTCAAGGCAGAAACACACATGTGCTAAGAACCCCAAGCAGAGTAGATTTAGCTCTTACGTAGGAGATCACATTCATCTTCTTCCTGTATTAGTCCCAACTGCAGGGGAGAAGGATGAACACAGTTTGAGGCAGCATTTCTGTCACCATGAACCATATGATGTTTTGTGAAGAAACCACAGGGTACAGATACGGAGCTCAAGTCTGAGTCAAGTTGCCTGAGGATGTGGGAGCCTGGATCTGGGTCTCCAGAGCTAAGGGCCTCCCCACATGACAGCTGACATAAATAGGCTTTACCAGCTGCCTGTTCCACTCCTTTCCAGGACCAATGGGTTGTGAGGGAGAATTAAGGAGGAACTGGGGTGGAAATGTGGTAATGGTGGCTTGAACCCTGGCTTGGTGGGGGGGTGAAAGTTGTGTTCGGGAACTGGTAAAGCTCTTGCAGGAATCACTGGAAGAGTCCAAGCAGGACCGAGATGCTGTTCTGACAGCATCTCTCCCCAACCCAGTACCAGCTCTGACATCCTTCCCAAACTATTGCAGCCTGACCCTGCCCCTTAGGGCACAACTACAGAGCCAATGAATAATGGAAAAATTATAAACTTTATTTGAATATTTCACAGTGGAAACTCAGAACAGACATAAAGTAGGAAACAACCAACCAAGAGCATAGACAGGGAAAGCTGAGGAGGGGACATGTTCTCACATTTCAAGGTGCTTGCACATTTAGTCTGGCATTGCATTCAGAAGGTCCCTGAGTGCTGTTCCCAGAGGAAGCATCATTGGAGTAGGTGACCATTCCCTGTATGGGAATCCCTTCCCAGGAAATATGGAATCCCAGCTATGACTCATCCATTCATTGCCTTCTGGAGAACTTGGCAGATGGCAGGAGGCAGAGCCTCACCTACTCATACTTCATGCTTGGTAACTCTGGCATGGAGTTCCTGGTGGAAACCCAGGGCCAGAAGAGAACATAGGACAATGACTTCTTCTTTTTCATCTTTGTCCCATACTAAGAACTTCCAATCCCACCCCCAAGCTACAGAATAACTTTACCATCTGGAAGAGGTCTAATGTCTGAGGCACAATCACAGGTCCAAACGCAGGTGAACACGAGCCATCTATCCAGGCTAGTGCTCCAGGAGCAGTGAGGTAGTAAGAGAAGAAACATGACCCAGAAGCAAAGAGACTGGAGTCATGTGTCCCTGATTCTGATGGACCTCATCCTTCCAGTGACTAGGCGAACTATACAGGCTCCATCAGATAACAGGCCTTGCCTGTTGCCAAGGCAAGGAGGTGAGTCTCAGGGTCTGAGAGGCTAAGAAAATGGTGGTGGGAAGCTAAGAACCAGATTGAATGACACCATGTGGAGCTTCCCCAAGGAATAGATGGCCTAGGGGAACATGATGACATTAGCTTCTTGCTCTGAGGGCTCTGCCTAGACTCTCAGCTAGGCAAAGGCTATATCACCCTTGGAAGTATCTATCATGTTAACATGTGGGAGTGGGAGCCCTTTACTCCCAACCATGTTCACCTGGATGCTAATTAAATCACTATAGTAGGAACCAGCCCAAATTGCACAGCAGAGCCAGGTCACAGGCTGCAGGCAGTTTTCTCTTAAGGTATCTGTCCTAAGGCCTATAGCCCTGACTGGTCTCCCCTTTCTCAGGCCGTCAGGCTACTCAGAAGCCACAGCCCTTACTCATCTAAAAGAGGTCTGATCGTGAGCATAACAGGAGACCTAGCATGACAGTACCACCCTCCTCTGCATATGGCCCCACATGCCCAAACCCAACAGGATCATCATCCCTTAGAGATAGGAGCCGCAGAAGTGACCTGGGGTGGGCACTCAAGCCCACACAGGACCAGGGAGCACAGCCAGACAAGTCACTGTTTAATAAAGTGAAAGGCCCTTTGAATCGTCTCAAAAAGTACATTGTGCACAGGAGTTAAAAAATCAGCCCCTTGGTTTTCTTGCGGAAGGGTGTCGAAGATAAGAGAAGTCAGGGACAAAGGCCACGTGGATTAGCTGTTAGCCTGTGCAAACAGGAAGAAGAGATGAGGTTACTCGCCTGAGAGAGACAAAGCTGTGGTATCTCCTTCCACTCAGCACTCGCCTTCCTCAAGGTCATGCTGAGTGGCTTAAATACACCTCTGGTCATCTCCCTCCATCCTGCCCTCTCTCTAGCCTCCTCTTCGTACTCCTCAGCATAGTCTGACTTGTCTGTTCTCAGCTCTGCCCCCGCCAGGAGAGGACTTCACTGTTATGATGACACCCTGAGCTCAGGTGTCACTTGCATTGACATGGCCAAGCCTTATAACAATGTTCCAGTCTTAATCCTTCTCTCTCAGGCAGATACTAGGAAATATGCTCTTTCTCTAGGAACCCCTCTTATGAGTCCATGTCTAAACAAACCATCTTTCTGATCCCTGCGATGGAGAGGTTGGGATTCCAACAGATTGTACGGATGAGCCAGGAGGGCCGGCTCACAGAAACCCCTTACTGTACAACCTCCCCTGGACCCAAGTTGGGGACTTGAGATCTCTAACCACCCTTTTCCCTCAGAACAGAACACAAAGGCTGCCCTAATTCCCCTCAAGAGATCCCTCTGAGGAAGAGTGCCATTCTGACTTTTCCCTCACCCAACTATGTCAGTGGGTGACAGCTAGATGGATGCCTGGGTCTGCACTAGAATGGGGAGCCAAGAAAGTTCTGAGTCCAGCTCTGCCATTAGCACTAGCAGGGAGGCCAGTGATGTTGATATGCTGACTCCCCTGCACCACCACTAAAGGACTGCAAGCGTCACAGGCTTTGAGGTATGGAGGGATTAGGAAACCAGAGGGATGGGTGAAAGGTGGGTGACCCAGGAGCAGTTCAGACCATGGAAGTGTCTGCTTCATGCCTTGGTGCATTCCTCCCAGACCTATAGCTTGAGCTCACGGAGTACATAACCCAGGAATCAGGGAGATTACCCTCATTTGCTGGTAGATCCAGTCTGTAAAAACTGTCATGTTCCCGTACACTCCAGGTCTGTATGCCTTGGCACAGCCAGAGCCCCAGCTCGTGTCCCCAATCAGCCACCAGATGCCATTCTTCGAAGTAACCAAAGGCCCTCCACTGTCTCCCTAGTGAACACAACAAGTTACAGAGAAGAGAAAGGCACACTGCAGCACACGGGCCACCATACACCGTGCAGAGAGGACACAGAGTCTGTGGATATGAAAGGGGCTGTGGGTCTATCTCACAGGCAATTGTCAGAGAGACATAATCTAAAAGATGATGTTGGTCCATACCCACTAACTGTTAGGAAGTACAGGGAAGACCACAATTTACCCACATCAACACTTGTGCCAAACAAAAGCTTCTCGGACGATCATAGTGCACTTAGCACTGGCTTCTGTCAAAGGCATAAATGCTGCTAGCAACCAGCCCTCCCCACAATGCTCCCAATTGTCCCTGTGTCCTTGGGAGGTATCTCTGACCCCATGTCTCACAGGGACTCTTGGAACTACACATTCCAAGACTGAATAAAAACTCAAAATTACCTGGCAAGAGTCCACAGTGCCCTGCAGGAAGCCGGCACAGATCATGGCTGGTGTGATAAGGTTGTTGTATATGTATTTATTATTACATTTGGAGCGCTCGATCAAGGGAACCATGGCAGCATTCAGCACATCCGAGGTCTTCCCTAACAACAGAGGCATCAGCCAGACACTCTTGTGGACATCTTCCTCAAGAAGCCAACACTCTATGTAGACAATCTCAGACCTCTCTTCCCTTCTCCCTCCCTCCCTGTAATGGTTAGCAATGACTGACAGTATCTAGAATCACCTGGGAGGCAAAAGTGTGAGCATGTCTATGAGGAAGTTTCTAGAGTGGGTAAATTGAGAAGGGAAAAATTCCCTAAAGATGGGTGGCACCATTGTATGGACTGCATCCCAGGCTAATCTTAAGCATCCCTCTTCCTCTCCTTCTCCCCCTCCCCCTCCCCTGTGTGTGTGTGTGTGTGTGTGTGTGTGTGTGTGTGTGTATGTGTACATACTTTGTGTGTGTGTGAGAGAGAGATATTAGAGAGAGAGAGCCCCAATATCTCTAGTTCCTGATGCCTTCCTCTCAATAATGGACTGTACCTACAGATTGTAAACAATAAGCCATTCTTCCCTTGCATTACTTCTGTCAAACTTTTGTCACAGGAATGAGGAAGCACACTCCCTCAGTCCATCACAATACCAAGCCTTTTCCCTATGTGTTAGGTAGGACTAATTTGATATTTTCTGTTAATCAAACGGGGAAAGCAAGGCATATAGCCCAGGTAGATTGTCCAAAGCCATTAGCCACTGAATAACAGAACTGGAATCCAAATCAGCATCCAATCCTGTGTGACCCAAACACCTCACCTTTCTCGTAGGTGGACCCCCACCCTGAAATCCAGCACTCCTGGGCTAAATCCAGCAACATGCCTGGGTTTGGCAGACATACTGGCTTCACTACATCTGTTAAAGAAGAACAGAGGGTTATCCAGGCCTAGATGGCCTCTGTGAGAATCTTTCCTGGCTGCCCCATGAAATCCAGGTTCCCATGAGTCCTGGACCTCTTGTTCCTGGCAGACCTGCTTCCTGACAATCCCTCTGGACATAATCAAGTGCTGGTTCAAAAATCTCAAAAAATGAATTTAAAAGTATATTAAGAAAAATAAAAATAAAAATAAAATAGAGCCTGGAAGTGGTGGTGCATGCCTTTAATTCCAGGTAGAGGCAGATGGATCTCTGTGAATTCGAGGCCAGCTTGGTCTAGGGAATGAGTTCCAAGATAGCCAGGGTTATGCAAAGAAACCCGTCTCAAAAAAACAAAAACAAAACAAAACAAAAAACCCAAATAAATAGTTTATAGACTACTCTTTAATGAAAAAACTTACTAAAGTTCTTTTTAAAATACATTATTACCATTTCTGTGATTCTTAAAATGTTTATAAACTATTAGAGAAAACACACCTTTATTTTAAAAAGCTAAAGTTCTGCCTTTCATTTTTAAAGTACCCTGCTTTCAGACATATTTGTTTAAAAAAGAAAAAAACGGTTGTCTTGGGAAAGATTGCTCAGTGGTTAAGAGCACTGGCTGCTCTTCCAGTGGACCCATGTCTGATTTCCAATAGTCACATGGAGGCTCACAACTGTGCTAGGGAATATGATACTCTTTTCTGGCCTCTGTGGGCATTAGGTACACATAGACATATATATGTGGGCCAAGCAGCCATACATAAAAGTTTAATCTTTACAAATTATCAACCAGATAGTGGCCTCAGCTAGAGAGCATGTCCACAGGGAACATAAGCAATGTTTGAAGCTGGCTCAGAACCACACAACGAGAAGTTACTGCCCTCTGGTGGAATGAGCCTCACATACCATTAAAAGTCAGAGGTGTCTGCAGCTTCATGAGAGCGATGTCATAATCCTTGGTCTTAGAGTCGTAATTTGGATGGGGAATCACTTTTTCTACCTGGTGTCTATTTCCATAGAACATGAGAGACTGTCTCAAAATCCCCGTGAACGCTGTCCAGTACCTCGGGCTGTTGAGGGGTCTGGGAAACAAGGAACAACATATGGAAACTCATGACCACAGATAAAAGGTGCACCCTCAAGTCTTTAAAACACATATGCTGAGGTCTGGAGTGAGATGAGTTCCCCAAGCCACAGAGTAAAACTGTGGTGCAGAGGACTCTGCACTTCCCTCCCACCTCCCCACACCTCCAAGCTGCTGAACAGCTTTCCGAGGATTCTGCTCCTTCTCCCATCTTCTGCACAAATAGGGCTGGCCCCCTCCCGTGAGACTTAAAACCACGTTTCTGACAAGACCGTCTCACTAATCTTTATATGCCAGAGCATTTAATGACACACAGTGGGTGCTTAATAAATGCATGCTGGTGAACATAGTAGGACAATGTGAGGTTGTCAGACTGGACTTTGCCCTGAGATGCATGCATGCCCAGGAGAAATGAGACTGAGGGCCTCCCAAAACATACAGACAGAGGTGAGAAGACAGCAGCAGGAGCACATCTGGTCACAGTACCGAGAGATGCAGCAGCAGCCGACTGTGCACCGGCAGTGCAATATGTCCCCTACCCAGGAGCATTCATCCCATCATACACAGGACGTAGAAGCTGCCACACAGCTTGGCAAGCTATGGGTCAAGTGGTGGCAGAGCCACACTCCAAACCCAGATCTTGGCCACGTGACTCCGTCCTACTACCCCAGACCCCATAAGATGTAGACGTACTCTTCCACACAGTGAGCGGCTGTCACAATCCACTCGGGGGTGATGATGGAGCCTCCACAGACATGGACATTTTGGACATGCAGGCTGACCTGCCAGGGCCAGTCTCCTGGTGAAGCATTCGATCCACCCACGATCCTGCTCTGGCGTGTCGATGAGCGGACCCCACACTCTGAGGGTGGCAAGCACATGTTAGGTGTCTGTCAACAGGGGACACCAGGGCCAGCACAAGGCCAACCATATGTATTCAACTCAGCCGCCTTTCTCCGGCTTCACCAGGCGGTGGGGCTGATGGAAGAAGACTGTTGCTGCCTCTCCTTACCCATTATTAGGAGTCCGAGTAAGCAAGCATGTGTGTGGGGAGGGGTGGATACTCTCATTTCCTGACTAGAGCTTGGGCTGATTCTTATTGGTACCCAATTCCACCAGATCTCTGATAGGCATGATTGGGAAAGTCTTGGGTGACAGGCTCCTCAGGGAGACTGGTAGAGTCAGGAAGGAGGTGAGTGGGGGCTTCAGTAGGTGCTAAAAGGGTAAGACGAAAAGAGATGAGATCATGTGGGGGACTGAATGAGGAGGTAGAAGGGGGTAATGGGGGTGATAAAGGCTGAACACCCCTCAGGAAATAATAAACAGGCTCTTTGTTGGCCAACTGACTGAGAGAGGAGATCTACTCCAGAGTCGGAAGCCCCGTTGGCATGAAGGGAGACTCTAGAATTTCACAGGTGTGGAGCAAATTCTTAATTGAGAGAAATCAAGGTAATATGAAAAGTGGATGTTGGAGACCACTTGATGTGCTGGAAGGTAGCAAGTGGCTGCTACGGGGTGTTAGCTGAGCAATCCTGATGCGTCTCAGCACAGTGTGGAGCGGGCCTTTTGGAAGCATCCTCCAAGTGCCACCGGAGCCTCTTTGTGAATGACTGTGAGTAGCTGTGAGGCGCATGTGGCAAAGGCTAACACCATTGCTCTCCTGGTTGTGCAATACCTACCGGAGACCTTAAGGAGACTCAGAACGCCTTTGCTAGAAGGTGAGCTTCAAGTCCCAGGCCTAAGCTGGCCATCCATATTTGCCCAGTGTGGGCTTCACGAGTAGTTGACATACACATAAAGAGATGGACCCCAGTTAGCTACCATACAAGCTACTGTGGGAAGGTAGAAGGGCATGCATGGTGTCAGGCTTTCTCCTTAGGAGTCCCAGAAGCTGTGTGCCCCAATGAAAGGCTGCATGGCACTGCTCTGGCTCTGCCCCAGACCAGGTAACTGCTGCCAAGGCTCCAAGATCACAAACAGCTCACCCCTCCACTTCGTGTAGAAGGAGCCACCAGTGCTCCCCACTCATGGTGGCACCTAAAAACAAGGCCTGGCAAAGTCCAGCTGTCACCTGCCCTCAGTAGACACTACAATGCAGCAAAATTCCAAAAATAGACATCCAAGTGTAAGCAAAAGGACTCCTGGCACATCCCTGCTGCCTTCGACGCATGTCGAGACTCAGGGACATTTCTCCAAAGCCACAGACTGGGTCCTACTCAGAAGCATAGTAAAGCACCCCTGGGAAGTACTCACCGATACAGCGCAAAGAAACCACCATGCGGGATGAGCAGGAGTCACTGGGAAGAAGAAGGGACTCTGGTTACCACAGTCAGGGGTGAGACACTGATGTCTTGCCCTAGTACTGCCTCCTGTCCACCACTAATGACCCTACCGATGTGACTAGACCAGATGGAGATAGTGGCAAAGAATGGACACAGAGTACCAGCCTCAAATCCCAGCTGTTCACCTTTGGGCATGATGCTAGCCCTCCCCTGCCTCTTCCTTATAGGTAGAATAAGATTATAATTCAAAGCCGTTACTCCCAGCACTCAAGAGGCAGAGGCAGGCGGATGTCTGAGTGCCAGGGCTAGCCTGGGCTACAGAGTGAGTTCCAGAGAAATCCTGTCTTGAAAACAAAACAACAATAACAACAACAACAACAACAACAACAATTCAAGTTGATCCCTGATCTGCAATGTGCCAAAATCTTAAAATACACAATACAAGTGGAAAATTTCATACCTAACCATATGTGAAGGGTCAGCCAAACCATAGTCATGGCATAATGTTAACAACCTTCAGTCTATGCATATAAGGTATACACAAGGGCCAGCTAGATGGCTCAGGGGGTAACGGTACTTGCCTCCAAATCTGACAATCTGAGTTCAGTCTCTGGAACCCACATGGAGAGGACTGACTGACCTCCACACATGTGCATGGCAGTACAACCACATGAACAGACTACATAAATTTAAATAAAGGATTACATAAAACAAATCAATTCTGTCCTTACATCTGAGTCCTGGCCCCAAGATGTCCAACACATAAGTACTTTAAAAATCTGAATGTACTCTGAAATTCTTCTGCCCCCAACATTTCAATACAAGGATGAACCATAATGTCACTAGGATGGCGGCTTGGGGGATGCGGGGGGCGAGGGCATAGTTGCATCAGTTTTTACTTCTGTCCTTGTATAATTTAAAATCATCCTCTAGTCTGGGTATCATGACAAACACCTGAAATTTCAGTGCTTGAGAGTCTGAGGCAGGAGGATCAGCAGTCCAAAGCCAGCATGGGCTACATAGCATGACCCTGTTAGCAACAAATGCCCAGCCATCCACTAGTGTCATCAGGAAACAGTCTGGAAACTTCTGATTTTCCCTGGATGGCTTTATATGTAAACCACAGAGGACAACAAAACCAATTCTTTGCCAGGGACAAGAAAACAAAACAAAAACAAAAAACAAAACACAGCACGCAGTTGGGTGTCAAACTTCCCATGCTGTGTATGAGAAAGAAACAATCCGTGCATTCCATCCTATAGACACTGTCCCTGGTGCACCGAAGAGGCCACCGTCCTGATGCCCCGGTGGCATCAACTGCCAGCTGTGATTCTGTAGGACAGGGTTGATTTCCCAAACATCAATGGCCACTTGGACAGATACAGCCTCAGTGTACCAGCCCATTCCACTGTCACCCACTCACACACTGAATGGGTATCTTCCCAAACCCCCTAGCTAGCTTGTGCTCCCCCAAGGGTACGGGTGGGAAGCCTCAAGAAGGGAACGTTGGAAAGAGGGCATTTCTGCATCATATGACTTCACTGAAGCCTTGACTCTGAACACAAATGGGTACTTCGTACTGCACACACAGTCAGGCCATATGCACCAATGAATGTCTCTGTAAATGCCTCTCTGCAGGTTTCACTTCTGTGTGTAATAAGCTGTAGAATGCTACTGTGATGCCCCATTTCTGTGTATAAAATAAACAGGTTTAATTACAGAATGCAGGGACTTTTAATATTTTTCTACCGTCACTCCTGTGTCTGTAAGTAAATTTGCAAGCTCATCCATTAAAGATTTGCTTTAATCTTTAATAAGTAGTAAAAT